GTCACACTGTTACCCGGTGTGTGTACTGTGTGTTAGGCCTTTGATTGTAAGGAGGACACTGTCTGTGCCCCTGCAGTATCGCACATTTGACCTGTGTAAGCAGCTGTGGTGTAGCCACCCAGACAACCCCTTCTTCTGCAAAACCAAGAAAGGACCGCCCATTGATGGCACCATGTGTGGAAGTGGGAAGGTATTTATTTACTACTGCAATTTAACATTCAAATCTGGTGGCACACTAAGTCCAAATAGCAACTGTGTCTTGTACTGTTGGCCTGCTGCAGCACTGCTTTAAAGGGCACTGCATCTGGTTGACACCTGACATCATAAAGCAAGATGGAAACTGGGGTTTGTGGAGTGAGTTTGGCCAGTGCTCCCACACCTGTGGTGGAGGAGTACAGTTTCGCACACGTGACTGTGACAATCCAAGGTATGAAACTATGTTTCCCACTGTGTCTATGGGTATGTAAAAAGTGAAACTGCAAGTCTTCAGTCTGTACTGCTGCTGAATTCACCTAAAGCTCAATGGGGTTTTAGCAGGCATGCCTCAATATGAGCTCTTTCTTGATAGTCAGCTTCTGACATCTGTTGCACTGACTCTTAAGAATGATATTTGCAGAGGTTCGTTGCTCCATTAAAGGATAAGGTGGGTCATTTTCTATATTTGTATTTTCAGCAGTCTCCATACAGAGACTAAAACTAACAGTGAATTAGCTCTACTCACAGTTAATGGTCTGTCAGTGTGTCATTCCTGGATCAGCTTATTCACATGTGCTATAGACCTCGGTTGCTGATCAAAAACTCTTTAAAAACACATTAGTTAAACACACCGCTGCACTGGGTGACATATTTCTTTATTGGTAAACCCCAGACTCAAGCATGAAGAGCTAACGGATGGTAAAGAAAGCACAGAGCTCCCACAAGTTCTCACCCATGTGCAGTTGACTCTGGTTTGTTCTAACTTCAGGAAATTATGGCTGCATAGAGACTTTGGGGCAACAATGTCAGGTCTGGGGTTTTGTCATGAAAAAACGTGTCACCTAGTGCAGCGTTGTGTTTCCCTGATGTATTTTTAGTCATGAACAACAACAGAGATCGATTGCACAGATGAAGAAGCTAAACCAGGACTGACAGACATTAATTATGAGTACAGACAGTTCATTGTCAGTTCCAGTCTCTGCGTGGAGATTGCTGAAAATACTATTAATATAAAAAATGTTTGGCCTTATCCTTTAACATACTGTAGATCACAATACTTTGTACAAGGATTAAATGTATCATATTGATACCCCATTTCTGAAGTAAAAGCCAGTGAATTTTAGAAGATAATTATAATGGCCATTTAGACCAACTAAAATATTCATGCGTCCCTGGACTGCCTCCCTCTCAGACCAGCCAATGGGGGCCGTACCTGCATCGGGGCAACTTACCAGTTCCAGATGTGCAACACCAATGAATGCACGGACATCTACAGTGACACACGAGAGGAGCAATGCCACGCCTGGGACCCTCGCTTTGAACTTCACAGCAACGAGCACCACTGGCTGCCCTATGAACACCCAGACCGTGAGTATACACCCGCAGATGGAAAGGGGATAAAGACTGGGCAGAGAAGGAGGCTGTCAGAACAGATATCAGCCTGGAAATGACAAAGCCCCACATGATGATACATTGTGGAAGCAGGAATAAAAGCCAGAAAGAGGAAACAAAGACATAACTCCTAAATGTGGCTGGGTATTAGAGGGCATGTATATAGGTTGTGTTCTGTTATGGTCGACTACAGCCTCCCACAATAACACCCCATGTCTTTAGAAATCTCTTTAAAAAAATCTTTTTTGAATTTGGTGTCTTCCTTCTCCACCAATTCGTGGTCATTTAACCCCTCTTCCCCCGCTTCTTTCCTAGCCATATATCAGTTGGCACGTATGGACAAACTCTGGTTCATCCTAAAGCCATTTTACAATATTGAGATGTTTTAAGACTTGCGTGTGTGGCTGTCAGACCCACCCAACCCTAAATGGAGATGTCACTGCCTTCCTGATACATGCAAAATGATCGTCTACCTAAAGGGCAGCCCTAGAGCAGAATGCTGAGCTGTGCCCATATCTAAGCGGAGGTCACGCTACGCACACCCTGCTAAGAGGGGCTCAATTGTTTTTCTCAGTTTTTATCATTTCTAAATGTCATATTTTTCAGCAAGGCTTTCTCAGTCTCAGATTACTTTTCTGTGAGTTTGTGTGAGTGCGCGAACACAGATGTGCATGTCTCTGTGTGAGTGAGAGAGAGAAGAAAGTGAACAGGGAGGTGAAATTGAATTCCATTCATAGTCTATCATCGCCTGAGTTCCAGATAGTGTGAGGCAAGAAAAAGAGTGTCTGCTCAGAGTGTGAAATTGTAGTATTTGTTTAGAGACATTTGACACAATGTTGTGTTTTTGTCTCTATTTGGGTCTTTTTTTTTTCAACTCAACAGATATACTGTAAAAAAGTCTTGAGCAAAAGAAATAGGAAGCATAAAGCTGCCCAGTTTGTGTGGCTGCTCAGCCGACTGGTTTGAGGGATTTATCCAACTCTTTGGTCTGTCACATTAGATCTAAAGCCCAATACTGTCCAGTGTTTTCACAGTAAGATGTCTTTCAGAACACTTTGTGGGGCTATGTGCAAAATATGGTGTGTCTCAGGGGTCTGTGACCCCTTTAACATCTTGGACCTCCTGCAGACTGAAAATCAAAAAGTGCAAAGTGCAAACTAGCACAGAAAATGTGACTGATAGTGAACAAGTAACTGTATTTTGCAGCAGTGTGCAAATTACAAATACAGCCCAACTTACTTACTGTAACCTCTGCAGTTCTGCTTGTTTGAAAGGCCACATTTTAGCAACAACATACAATAAACCATCATAGGTGTTTAATTGTACTTTGTTGATGTTTAACCATTTGGATTGGAAGTTTTCTGTCTTGAGGTACATTTAAACGTATCATAAACCTACCTACACTGTAACATAGGAATGTGAGTACAAAGGTGTGCAAACAACACGGGTCCCCTCAAACACAATGTGTCATAAACATTAGAAGAGGCTTCATTCATAATCTAAGAAAGCAGTCAATGCAGTGTTTTTGTGTTGTCAGTTTAGCCTCAAAGAAATGTGTTTGTTCCACATATTACCATTCTACAATAGCACATATGCCACCTGTTTAATAGTGCCACAGTACCATAAGACAAGGTCTCTGGATTATGTCCATCTGTAATAAACATGGTGAAGCAGGAGTGCTCATTCTCACTGGAATGAACTGGCAGGTTTTGCCTCTGGAGGCTGGTGCAGTTGTAGGATGAACACAGACAAACAGGTCATCACACCAACTGACGGAAAGCTCATTTAGAACATAAAAATTAACCCCACTGGTTGTAAAAATGAAACCATCAGAAAAGATCTCAAATGTGCCACCTTGACAATCATTCGAATAATTGGGTCATGATTTATATGTGTGTGTGTGTGTGTTCCACAGCTAACTCACGCTGCCACCTGCATTGCCAGTCCAAGGAGACACGAGATGTGGTCTTCATGCAGAGAATGGTCCTAGATGGAACGCGTTGCTCATACAAGGACCCACACAGTGTGTGTGTGCGTGGGGAGTGTGAGGTGAGTGATAATTCTGCATGTGAGAAAGCAATACTACTGCGAATGTTCAGCATTACAATGTTGAAACTTTCCATGCCCTCGTGAACAGAAAGTGGGCTGTGATGGTGTGGTCGGCTCCTCAAAGCAGGAGGACAAGTGTGGGGTGTGTGGAGGTAACAACTCCAGCTGCAAAACCTTCAAAGACGCCATCACACGCACCGCTAAGAAACAAGGTAAACACACACTAATGGCCGCAATATCTACATCTATAGCAGACTTGGACTGCTACTGAACTCCATCAGTGTAGCAGCTGTTAGTACAGGATGAATAATTGGCCATAAACCGGACACTTTGCCTCTGTGTTTATTCATGTTTTGTGAAATGCTGCCCTCTAGAGGAGGATTTGGCACACTGTCCAAACCTCAGTGAGATGAGCTGTATCCATGCCACGAAGTTTCATATCAGCTAATATTTATTTGTATTTGTTTATTATCTAAATTAACTCTTGATGTAGTCACAAGCCTACATGAAGGCATCAGCAATCCCAGAATCAAATGTTTATTCTGAAGAGTAATAGTCAAAGCTGCAGGGATTTTAACTAGTTGGCAGGGATACTTGTTTGAAAAGAGCCAGAGCTCTTTACTGGAGTTTTGTGATGATGTTAAAGTTATGAATCACATGTGTGTTTCATTTCAGGTTTTCTCAAAGTACTTGAAATCCCCAGAGGGGCGAGACACTTATTGATTCAAGAGCTGAAGGCAACCTCTCACACATTAGGTATTAAACACCGTGTTGTTTTACTTCCATGTGTGTGCATGTATACAGCCTTATATTTGTGCATTGCATAAGTGTCATTAATGTTTTTACAGCTGTGAAGAACGTAGCATCGGGACTGTTCTTCTTGAACGGGGAAAATGAATACCCAGAGTCCCGCTCCGTCATAGAGAAGGGTGTGGAGTGGGAATATGAGAACGACAATGACAAGGAGACCCTTCAGACCACTGGCCCTCTGAGACATGGAATTCTCATCATGGTAAATAAATGAAGATAGCACTGGATTTGGTTTTACACTAGTATTTCTGTACACCAAATTATCTAAATTACATTCAAAACAACAGCTTTTGTCCTGGCTAGTCTGAAATCTTTAAGTTTTCGTTACATTTTCTCACTCGTTTTTGTTGGTCTTTCTTTCTGTAGATGAAATTACATGGAGATGAGGATGTGAATTTGTCTTATAAGTACATGATGAATATGGACAGTGATTTTGCAATTCAGAACAACATGCTGGTAGAGGACAGCGCCTATGAGTGGGCCCCAAAGAAATGGTCCTACTGCTCCAAGCCGTGTGGTGGAGGTACACATCAGCATGGAAAATACATGTTGTGAAACTGTCTCTGCTTTCATCTATGCAAATATTGCATTCCTGTCTTTATGTTTTTGTTCTTACATTTAGTAAATGTTTCTATTCCCTCTTGCTATAGGGAAGCAGTACCTGCGCTACGGCTGCAGAAGAAAAGTTGACAGTAAGATGGTCCACAAGAGCTTCTGTAACAAATCTAGCATGAAACCAAGAGGAGACACCAGAGATTGCAACCAGAAGCCCTGTCCTCCACCCATGTATGCATTGTCGCCAACTGTAAAAATATAACTCGGAGATGCTAACACAACTGTGATACACACAACATTCATTCAGCTGGCCCTGTTTTTCTGCTCTTTCACTGTTGACATCAGCATTGTAACATTTTTTGACTGCCCTCTTGTTTCTGTCTTTCTTGCAATGTTCTCCAGTTGGGTGTCAGGGGAGTGGCAGAACTGCAGCAAACCATGTGGAAAGACCGGCCTGCAAATTCGCTCGGTCAGCTGTGTCCAGCCATCAGACGACAACACCACACGCTCCATCCACAATAAACATTGCAATGATGACCGACCGGAGAGCCGCAGACCCTGCAACCGACACCCCTGCCCCACCCAGTGGAGAGTTGGACCGTGGTCACAGGTATATGGACTGGACATGGATCAGTAGGGTTTTCCAAAATGGAAACTGGAAAGTAGAAAATAATGTTTGAACAATAAGTGTTTTTTGCAGTGAAATGCTTTATATTTTTGTGTTGCAGCCTGCCAGCTGATATTTCTTTCAGATATTCAGTGTTTTACCACACGACTTTCTCAGAACTGTAATCTGAGAGCTGGTTTGACAAGCTTTTAGTTACTAATTACAGTAAACCAAGCCAAGGACAGTGATTTAAAAAAAGCAGGTTATTTTCATTTGCTTTACATGGCTTTTACTGCTTTACATTTTGTGAACTTGAAAACATTCTATGTCTATATTTAACAAGCCTTTTTTATAATGTGTTGGTTTGTGTGCATGTTCTTTATCTCCAGTGCTCAGTAACATGTGGTAATGGGACTCAGCAGAGACAGGCTCTGTGCCACACCAGGGACAACACCATTGGCCTGTGTCTAGACAGTAAGCCAGATACCATCAGAGTCTGTCGACTGGTTCCATGTCCCAGTGAGTGTTAATGAACTCCTGTATGTGTAAATTGTATTTATTTGTATTATCATTATTTATTTAAATTTGTAAAAGTGCTTTTAATTGCACAGAACAGCTCTGACACTAAATATGTCAGGTTGAATTTGGTGGACATGATGCACAGGAAATGTAGCACATTTAGACTATTATTTGACAAGTGCAATCATAAAAATGAATGTTTCACTCAGTGCAAACATCACACAGATTAAATGAGGAGCTAGAACAAACTGATACAGACTGCTGTGTTTACTGTACGTGATACTGTCAGACAATGAACCTTTATGGTGGAAAAATGGGATTAACAAGTAAATGGTAAAGAAGGACAGGTGATCAGACAAAAACTGCAGTAACCTGTGAAGCAGGTTCCATCCCACCTTAACTACTCTATCACTCTCCCCTCCTTTCTTTGCAGAGGGCTCCTCAGACCTCAACAAGAACGGCAACATCCTGATCCAGTGGCTGTCTCGCCCCAACCCCAACTTCCCGAAGATCTCCTCACGTAAAACCTCCCTCTATAGTTCCCAGCCTGGCCTCCACAGCAGCAGCCGCAGCTGCATGTCTGTCCTCTGCTGGGCCCTGCCCATCTCTGTCCTCCTGTCTCTGCAGGGCCGGCCCCGGCTGGCCCCCTGACCCGCCCTTCCCCTAAGTTCCATGTCTATGCCCACGCCCGTGAGCGAGCGGCAAAGCTTTTGCTTCTCCTTTGGGGGGGGATGTTGTCTCTCTCTCTCTCTCTCTGTCTGAGACGGCTCTGACTGGGGGGAGGTCTCTGGCTCCTGTGTGTGCTAGTTGGTTCTCTCTTGCTCTGTCTCTCTCTCTCTCTCTGTCTCTCTCTCCATTGTGGAGCATTGTGTTGTAACCGCTGGCCAGTCGAAAACTTAAAAGATCAACAAAATATTTGATGTGAAAAGGATTCGAAGTGGCAAGGTGAACAGATTTTTACTGACACTTCCTTAGATGTGTCGAAGAGGCGTTCATGCGCGAGGGATCCCCTCTGCGTTTGGCGGCCATGTTTTGCGCGAGCTAGCTGAGTGTTGTCATGAGTTAAAACTCCTAAGATGCAGCTGCGCTTTTTTTCCTCTTTGTAGCGCACTGTCATTGTGGGGAGAAACAGGTGTGAAAATAAACAGAAAGGCATATGAATATCTATATAGAAAAAAGTTATAAAAAATATGAAAGCTTTATTGTGAATGTGATCTTGTCACAATGAGGACATCTTTGCTAAAGTGCTCATCTGACATCCTGGGTCCATTCGGGGATGAGAATGGTGTCTCATTCTACGTTCCATTCTCAGACTGACAAGAACTCAGCACAGGGACAGGAAGTGACATTAAACATTTTGATTTTGGGGGGAGGGAACTGTAAGGTGAAGTCTTGAAGTAAAGGCAAATCTAAAAAAGAACTAAAAAAAAAAACAGGGTAGTCTGACCTCTTGAGGTTGCTTCCCATTTCACCTCATCATCAGCCATCCTCTCTTTGACTGTTATACTAAAATTCAATAAATGCAGCTTATTTGTGCTTGCAGACTTTAAACAAATACATCTATAAATATATTTGTATTTATATATACCTATAAATCTAAATCTATATGAGTAATAATATTAATAATGTTAATGTTTTACCATGAATAAGCTGTAGCTTATTTGCCTAAAACCTTTGGACTGCTATTGATCGCATAGATCCTTGACTGTTACGTGTATTTTTTTATTGATTTTACATGAATACAGATGAATACTTAATAAAGGTAAAGTGTTTCGGGGGAAGGGGTTAGACCTATATTATGCAGGACTTGGTCAGTTAGTTGCCTCTCCATTTTCTCAGATGGATCAGTGATTTATTGTCGCTTCTTGTCTTCTTTAAGGATAGGACCATGTTTTGTCATGCACATTTGCATCCATCACCAGTGTGTATGTATGTGTGTGAGTGTATCTGTGTCTGTGTCTACAGTATATGTGCATGGGTATATGTATGTAAACTTAGATGAGAAAGTAAATAGATGTGTGAATGAGTGAGAAATGTCTTGTTAGTGAAAATGTGTGGATGTGTGTGCTCACATAGGCATGTAAGGGTGCTTCATCATTTGGGCTTTCACACATGGCGATCAGATACAGAAATACCTCATAAACTTTGATTTGAGAGTGTCCGATGATCTCATTTTATTTTGATGAACATTAACCACATGAACAATGCCTTATCTTGGATTGAATGTAATGGCATTTATCTGTGAAAGAGATGGCTTTACTCATTCAACGTTTCACTCGGAATAGAGGCAGCTTCAAACCAACTTAACAAACTCACACCCGCCAACCATCAAACCTACCAAGGTGATGTCGGACCAGTGTCCGACAACTGGGAAGGGTTTACAAAGGGCCTAGGGTATTGACACATATGGCATCTAGAAAAAAGAAAAACACTTCAGACTTGTCATTGTATTGTGATCACATATTTTTGTTGTGACTATGTAGCGAGCTATCCAAGGTTTCCTTCTGCTGGAGTTGGACTGTTTGAGACCAAGCCAGACCTAGCAGTGCGATACTGTATATAACATTGGTGTTGACTGTATTTAATAATGTTCATGACTGTTATCTTCTTCTATAATATTCTATACTATGGGTAACTGTTTTGTGGCTTCACTGGCCTGCTGTGTGGGGCTGGCTAACGTTTGGCTAACGTTGAAGAAACATTCAGATGGACTACGTGCACTGCGTCTATATGCACTTTGATTTATCAGGGAAATTTTATTAATGTTTTGTAAATGTTTCATATGACACATAATGTGCCATTCCAGTTTTTACATCATCATGGAAATTATGTATTTTATTTAAACAGCAAATATCATTTATGTACTTCATGTTTTTTTTCCCCAATCGATAAACAGATTGACTGGTTGATTTCTAAGTAATGAAGTGTTTTACCAAAGTGACTGTGAACTTGTAACTTTCAATACAGTTGAATTATTTTTCTTAAGAAAAGAATATATCTATATATTGGTCTGGGGGGGGCGTACATCTCATTGTTTCAGTTTCTGTCATTCTCAACAGCAAAGTTGTCTCAATAAAAATGTTTTAAAAAGTGTGATCTTTCTCTCACTAGGAATGTTCGCTGGCTATATTCTTTGTCAGAGAAAATGCCAAACATTGCCAGGAGAACACAGTTATTTTTACTGGCGTGGTACAAAAAGGGTGCAAGTCAAGTAATAGACAATTAAAATGTAACTGCAAAATGATGCACACCTAAAGCAAATGTAGCACAAAGTTGCATAAGCAAGAGGAAATCAAAATTAGATATCAGATGTTTTAGACTGAAAAACAGTTCTATTGACAACACTAGACTGGCGACCCTTCTTTTTCCATCTCAGTTGCTGTCATGACTGCTCTTGGTGTTAAGGTTTTTCTCTCCCTTCACACATCTTCTGCTGGTCTGGCTTTACTACTGCACTCTGCATGGTATGGGAACACGCACAAACTCAAACACATGCATTTACTTTGTATTGTATAAGCAGGGACACAGAAGCCACTGCTAAATAATATACTGTTATTGTTGTATAATATGTCATGTAAAAAGACCCCTGCAATCAGATGTATGCACACACCCCGACATAGTCTATACCCCTCACTGCGCTCAGTCTCAACTCTGTTCTCTCCTTCACAGGCCGGCGTTGCCATGGAGACCGTACTGTGCTCTGTCGTGTGAAAGGGCTGAAGCACTACTGCTCCCTGCCGGACTACTGGCGCATGTGCTGCAGATCTTGCAGCGATGTCATTGGTACACAGCCTCCACCCAGCTCCACTTCCAGGTCCACCCCCATCACCTCCATCCAGTTCAGTGTTGCAGCTCTTCCAACCACCAGCACCCTCAGCTCTGGCTTCATCACCATCCAGCCCACCACAACTAGTAACACTCCCATTTCACCTTCAACCAAATCCAATCCAAATCCTTGGACCATCACTCCACCTCCTGCCCTCACCACTCCTGTTCCTCATTCCACCCCAGCTTCACTCAACACCAGAGAAATGATCACCAGTTATCCACCAGATGCCACCAGCGCTCCTGTCCCCTCTAGCACCTTTTTTACAGCAACCACCTCAGTTATTACAACTTCTCCCAGCTTTTCTGCACGTCCGCAACCTCTGCCTATCCCAGACATAGATGAGAGCACAAATCCACAGTTACAGAGTACTGCAAATAGTCCAACAACATCTGCCATGACTATCGTACGTTTTCTAGCAACAACCAGTTCAACAATGATGAATCCAACTGAAACCAGCACAAAAACAGACACTCTGCTGAAATCTAAACCAAAAAAGGATATTGTACCAAAGAAAAACACCAAAAAGGTGATTTTACCAAAGACTAATCAAAATAAGAATACTCCCATGAAAAATACTACAGGAAAATATGTTTCTCCAAAGAAAAAGAAAACAAACACTACTCCAAAAGAGAATACTCCAGCAAACAGCTATTCCAAAAATAATTCAGAAAAGGCTACTCCCAAACTCAGCAGTCCAGCAACCACGACCCTAAAAAATACTCCAGTAAACCTGACTCCCAAAAATACTACTCCAGCAAACATGACTCCCAAAAACACTGCTTCAGAAAAAGCTACTTCTGAAAAGACTACTTCAGAAAAGAGGACTTCTAAAAAGTCTACTCCAGCAAATGTGACTCCCAAAAAGACACCTCCAAAAAAAGCTACTTCCCAAAAAACTACTCAAGAAAAAGCTAGTCCAAAAAAGACTACATCCACAAATGCAACTCCCAAAAATACACTACCAGAAAAAACAGCTCCCAAAAAGATAATTACAGCAAACACAGCTCCCAAAGAGACTACTCTAGTAAACACGACACCAAGAGAGACTTTGCTAATAAACACGCCCCCCCAAAATATTAATCCATCAAACTCGACTCCCAAACAGACTATTTTAGTAAACACAACTCCAAAAGAGACTACTCTAGTAAACGTGGCTCCAAAAAATACTATTCCAGTGAACACGGCTCTCAAAAAGACTGCTTCAGAAAAACAAGCTCAAAAAAAGAAACCCCCAGAAAAAACAAATCCCAAAAAGACTAAACCAGCGAATGCAGCTCCCAAAAATACACCTCCAGAAAAAACTATTTTCCAAAAGATGACTCCAGAAAAGACAACTCCCAGGACAATTACAGCAAACACAAGTCCCCAAAATATTACTCGACCAAATCTGACTCCCCAAGAGACTGTGCCAGCAAACAAAATTCCCCAAAAGGTTTTTCCAGAAAAAACAACTCCCAAACATACTACTTCTGCAAACACGACTCCTAAAAAGACTCCTCTGGTAAAGACCACTCCCAAAAAGTCTCCTCCGGGAAAGACTCCTCCCAAAAAACCTATTCCAGTTAAGACTACTCCCGAGAAAAAAACGAAATCCACACCCAAAAAGGAGGTTCCCAAAAAAAACATACCAGCAAAGACAAAAGTGACAAAACAAAGTCAAACAAAGACAAACTTCAAAAAGAACCAAAAATTTCTGGCCAAAAGTGCTACAAACTTACAAGTGAAGGTTTTTCAGAATAAGGCCACAATGAAAAAGAACAATCCATTTTACTACACCACAGCTCCCTCTTCCTATACAAGCCTAGAACCACCAAGGGAATACTTTTCGTCCCCTATTTTCTCTAGCGCAATTGTATATGATACATCAGCAAACTTGCCTTTACAAGAGTCAGGATCCAATGCCATATTCATCAATAATGACACAACAGCTACAGATGAAAATCCACTGTGGTACCATGACAGCACAGACACTGGAGTGACAGCACATAGCAGCTTTGATAATCTCGTACCACCCTGTGGACCCATTGATGTTGATGCTGCCATGATGTCTAGTGGAACCATGACATTTAATGAAGGCACAACGACAAGCAGCAGCGATAACATAGTAACCAGTGGGACCATTCTCAGTGGTGATAAAATCACAATGTCCTACAGCAACGTGGAAGTGCTGGACGACAGCCTCACCATGGTGATCCAAGCCATCAGCAGTGAGGGTAAGACAAATCCCACTTTCTCACCTTGGTTGGACCTCTCTGAGCACATCCCGTCGCATGCTCCCATGAGAACCTCACACCTTGCCACCAACTCACCTTCCTCTGGCTTCATTCTGACAACAGAAAAACCAGCCATCACAGTAGTCTCTATTATGGGACCTCAGCAAAGAGCTGAAGAGAACACTGAGAACAATTCCATTAACATCTTGTATAACAGGATCGTCAGCGTGGACAGCGACATCACGCAGAACAACCTGGTCCCAAAGCGTCGGGTCAACCTCAGAGAAAGAACCAGGAACAAACGCATTCAGGAGCTTCTGGAGGAGAAGCGTAATTTTCTCCTGAGGATGAAGAGAGGTCATGCAGCTAAATAGAGCAAGCCTTCTCATTTCTCTTATAGAGATGAATCTTGTCTTTACAGACTTTTGTAGGCCTTGTTTAAAACCCTCTGAACTGTTGCAATGCTTTCTATGAGGCCTTCTAACAACAAAAGAAACTGTCATATGACAATCAGGACAGTTTCAGAGAGAGAATATTATTGCCAAATGTTTGAACAGTTGCCTTGAATAAAGAAAAGCTCTTTAGAGTACAGACTATTGCGGATTTAAAGCAAATGGCCTTGCCTGTGTAAACACAGTAATGAGAAACAGAAGGGATGAAACGTGTACATCCAGTTTGACCAGCACTTTAGAAAGCCGGCGTTAATCCTGCCAAACCATCCGTAGTCTTGTTTGAGGATTCGCTCACTGGGTGATGTAGATAACATGTAATGTTCTTTGTAAAACTGTATTATCCCTTCTGGCACTTATGAAGCAACAAAATCTATGACTTAAACTCCAAATCTCATTTCCCCCAAACTGATATGAATACATCTCAGCCAACTAATAAAAGCTACTGTCAGATGAAAATGTCTCCTTTGTAAGTGGACAGTATTATGAATACACTATATACATTGCAGATTGGAGCATTTGGAAGTCTGAAAGCAATGTGGTACAGCCTAACACTCAAAGTCAAAGTTTCCTTTTGATTTGATTGGATTGTGAAAGTTTGCACTGCTTAGATCGTGTTGCCTTTTCTAAAGCTAATGTCTGTCTGACTGCATAGCATCTCTCCTCTTTCGAGAAGTTAATTAAGTGTAGTAGACTGGCGAGGGTTAACAATGTGCCTCATTCATTATTTTATGTACAAAGGGAAGAAAACACAAAAAATGCTTGTTTGTACTAACTATCCACAGAGAAGCTTTGAGGGCCAGTATACTTTCTTTTCAAAAGGTTTTATCACTGGTGTATCTCTGACTTGCAGCAACTGCAAAAGCACATATGAGCTTTCTGTATGGTATCTGCACATATGAGAAAAAGAACCATGTTTAATATTTATTAAAATGTTAGTGCCTGTGGTATTTTGCAAATTGGCAGTGTTGTGTGATTTTGTTCTAATGACAACTACCATGCTGACCAGTTATGTCGCTCCTGATAGGCGGTACACAGCTGCTGGTCACCTGTTTGAGTTTGAGTCAGTCAACAATCCCCTCAGTGTATCAATAGCTTCCAAGCTCTTCTCCTGTCTACACTCAGCTGGCAGATTATTAGCTATCGCATATGGAAAAAGTGTCTGCACACTGACAGAGCATTTTTAAGTTTATTAGGTTTGCCAAGATAAATGTAATAATGAGGTTATGTTTACCTTAGTCTCAGTTTTAGCAGGAAATAGGAATCGTGGAATAGGAAAGTAAAAATTCAAATGTAATTCATTAGACTTTAGTGTCAGACTATGATCATGATTTTTGTCTTTTGTGACATTCAAAGTTCTAGTTTGAAATATAAGCATTATAAACGTCACAAACATATACAGGTGGTTATACTGGATAACACTACATTATATTGTGTTAGTTTGCCTGCATTGTGTGGATTTTTTTTTTTTTTCCCAAAACACATCTCAAAACAACTTCTTGGAAGAAATAATCATCTTTCTGAGAAAACTCCTCCCTCTGCCCTTTAAAGGACGACTATACTGTACGATCATTTCTAAGAATCCCTCTGGCAGCTGGAAGCTCAGTTAAATCAGTAACAGTTATACAAGATACTTGGAGCACATGCACGTACACACATACAACTACCTACTACCTGACACACTTACTGTATATGCAGTACATCCTGTGTGTGCAAAAAAAAAATCTGGCTAATTGTCAGTCTTTCCACAGTGCACACATAATAAAGGTTCATATGCTGTTGGTTGTTGCAGAAAGCCATCAAAAAACAACTGGACCCATCTGTAATCTCTTTAATATGCCTGCTGCTGATAAGACAGTGATTTCCCTGTAAACACATACAGAGCATCAACTACAAATGGCAGTGTAACTGGTGTTCAGTCCTGCTGTGTTTCATGAATTTACATCCTTGAAGCCTGGTTGATGTTGTGCCTGCATTTGTCACTTGCAGAATGCACATCAATGACTGCAGTCAGTGTGATGCCTGAGAGGCTGTCAAGACTAGACCTAAAAAAACGCTGCATAGTGAGATGTGCGGGTGTGTGTGTGTGTGCCTTTGTATTACTTATTGTATTACATTATGGGGACCGAAACTCACATTGTGGGGACTCGGCCTTCATTGAATTTTAGGGTGACAACATGGTTTATGTATAGGGTCAGGGTTAGGCAAGTAGTGGTTATGGTTAAGGTTAGGAAAAATCTAAAGGAAATTCATGTAAGTCAATGTAAAGTCCCCACAAGGAATAAAAACATGTGTGTGTGTTTGAGGTAAATTTAGTTCCTTGTGACTAGTCCATTAATTCCATAAACAGCCAACAGTCTTTATATAGGCTGGATGGAAAAAAGACGTGACTCATCTGATTCAATGGGGGTCATGCTGCCCCTGATACACACACAGCTATGTCTTTCTATGGTTGTGAGGACACTTACTGACATTATGCAACTCCTAGCCCCTTACCCTGCACTTAACCATCACAACTAAATGTCTAACCCCATACCTTCCCCTACCCTAAACCAGATTCTAACTTGAATACTAAAACTAAGTGTTATTTTCCAACACAATGTAATAAACACACGCATTCAAACATTCACTTAATTGTCTTCTGTTTAGGGTCAATATGACCCCAGAGCCACTTAAGCTGTTTAAAAAAATAGATTTGTCATAACAATTTTACCATAATACTTAAGCATACACGTACAGACTCCCTGTCGTGCACAAATCAGAGCCCTGAAAATTAGAAATGGAATTCTCCCATGGGGAGGGGGCATGAGAATCTGGCAATCCCTAGGAAAACTGCTTACCTCTTATAGAGTGGAGCAAACAACAAAAAAGGGAAAAACAGAGCCATTTCAACCAAACTTGTTTATGCACTACTCTGAGTTTTTTTGGATGAGATATGACTTTGTAATGAGTAAAAAAAAAAGCTTGGTCCAAGATACTGACAGGTGATGAAGATCATCCCAAATGCCCTCAAAACTAATCTAACTGATTAATAAACAAACACCAATATGTGAGCAGGGTAAATAACAAAGCCTAGTATCCAGCCACTTGCTGTCCCATTTCAAGCAAAACACAAATAACAACCAATTTTACCACAAATCTTTCTTTATGCTAATGCAGCACACTTGCCCCAAATCCTCAAAAACTGGTTGAAAAGCTGAAATGCCTTTTATATTTCTTTTGAATATTCCTTTAACCAGAAATTCACCCAGTTTTGCCTTGGTCAGACATCATGTCTGCCAAAATATTCTTGAACTAGTAAAGTAATTAATCAAGCGGGGTTCACCGTAATGTCAAAATCAAACCCATTTCAGTTGCCTACATACTGTAATAAAGAACAGTGTATGAAAGATCAAGCAGGTTTCTTACAAATTACAAAGGCTTAACTAATGACAACAGGGGGACAGTGTTCACAAATGTGACTCTTGTTCTGTATAGCCAGCAGCAAGTGGTCCTGTGATCTCACACACACACACACACACACACATGCAAGGATACACATGCAGAGCTCACGTGTGTATCGAATTGCAAGATTCACATTACATGTTTTACTAGATAAGGTCAAACCATTTTACAACAGCTGGAGATTTTTGTTAAAGGATCGTTCATTGTGGCAGATTCTGACCGTGTTCACCTCTGGCCTGTCATATTTAGAAGTGGCAGTGCTTGAAAAAATAAAGAAGAAAATAAGCCTTAGTCTCTTTTCATCCCTCTGTTTTCCTCTTTTGTTCTCCTTCTGTCTCATCTTTTTCTCTCACTCCCACCATCCCCCTTCCTCTTTCTCTTTCTTAGTCCTCCTTCGTCTGCCTCTGTTTTTCTCCCTCCATCAATACAGTCATCCAACAACAGTGCTGGGGCTGAGGAAATGGACGGTGTGTCTATTTTTAGAGCCAGGGAAGGAGGGCAAACCAAAAGTAAGCTAGGGAGAGAGGGAGGGAGGGAGGAGAAGGGATGTGAGGAGAAGATAAATCTGCATTCGACCGCTGCCTCTGATCAGAGACGGTTGGAGTGCACTCGAGGAGAAGCAGCGTCACTGGCTGGAAACACAGCATCATAAACAAAAAGACACATCCAGCAGCACAAAGGCTTCAGACTCATATTTGAAATTGCAAACACAGAGAGAAGAAGAACCGATCAACTGGACTTGACAAGGAGCATCTGTAAGTGGGTGAGTGTGAAAGTAAATGATGCAGAAAAACCGTACATAATTATTGATAATGCTCAAGGCGAACATACACAGGAGCAGCTACTTCAGCTGTGGAGCCAGTTTTAGCTGCTGCATGTGGTCTAAATTGAGCAATGGTTACACCTTGGAAGAATCCAGGGGAGGCTGGCATTTTGGTTTGGCTTGCACTAATTTTGGCACGGAGGTCTTGACAAAAATATATTGTAGGCTATACTTGGGGTTATAACAATGTGAGGTTACATAAGAAAATATTCGGTGGCTTTATGTGACTGAGGTGGCTTTCAGAATGGTCATCTATTTCTGTCGCCTCTTGCTGGGATTGTTTGTGTTTTGGGTTGTTTACACTGCCACTCCAGAGTAAGCAGGGCATGGCATCTGAAATGGGGAAGAGGAGAGGAAGGTTTAAACTGTACAGTATGTGAATTAAATTAAAAATTCTCAGAAATGCTCCTGAGATAAAAATTTGTGTTAGCACACAAATCTGGGCTAACCAGAATCTAAAATCTAAACACAACCTCTTTCCTCCTTGTCTCTCAGCTATGCGGCCGCAATCGAGACCGCTGTCCAAGAGAAGACTCCTGCTGCCCACAATTAGAGAGGGCACAGAGGAGACTGTGAGGGATCTGGATGAGGCCAGCACAGCCCACATTACCAGTCATGGCCACTCTGTCTCCTCAGAGGACTACCTCCTTTCCATCTGCCAATTGGCCCACCCCACCTTCCCCACCAGGGATGTCTCCCCGAACAACATCCGCACACGTCAGCCGGATGCTGTGCACCACAGGCCGACACTGTCACGGCTCAGTGGGACTACGTCAACCACCTTTGAATTCAAACCCGCAGAGAAGGCGCATGCCATTAATGCTCAGCAGGAGCAGGAGAAAGAACTGAACAGCAAGTTGATGTTTGGCAATTCTGACCCTCTGGAGTATCTTTATGGACACCAGAACAACCTCTCAGGAGGGGTGAGGGGGGCTTTTGTTGAGGGAAGGTTTGTGAGGCAACATAGGCATATATGGGGTGGCCAGGCTTTCTCCAGAGCCCACAGCTTCCCCCCTGCTTCAAATCTAGACCTCCCACACCAGTGCAAGAGCAGCTGCCCCGAATTTCAAACCATCACTAACAGATCAGTTCCAAATATCTCCCCAGAACACAACTTGTCCAGGTTGGAGGCCAGGAGAGGCAGCCCAGCCTGCACAGGAGCAGAAGGAGAGAAACAGAATCCAACTAGCAAACAATCCCTCATCGCCCAGTGGATCTCCGGCTGCAGGTCAGCGTGGAGGGAGGCGCGGGTGCGAGCCTGTGTGCTGCCTGCCATAGCTGAGATATAGGGAACAGGCGAACAGACACTGTGACAGAAAACATTCCCAATGAATTGTCCTTTTTTTGTCAGTGCATGACACAGTGATGTTAGGAAACATGTAGAAATGTATTATGAGAGATTTGATTAATACACATTTGAAAACATACAGATACAAGTAAATATTGTCATGGTTGTCCATGTGTAATGTTATATCAGTGTCATTGCTTAATATTACAACCCTCTTACTCTTGATATATGCTGATAATCGTACAAAAACTGACTAATCTGCAAAAATCCTTTTCTAACTTTGTGTTTTGTGAACTAAGTATAAATAAATAAACTAACCTTTTGATACTCTTAACCAAACTGTATGATCAGTGTTATTTGTCAAGCTACAGTCTGTGTTTTCCTCAAAAATGAACTCCACTCCCGGCTCTGCTGGTGCCAGGCACTGGAGTTTCTATGGTAACTGTCATGGGATCCTGCACTGTGCAGAGAAACACAGGCAGAGTGAAGATGACACCGCTGAACCCAAACATGCAAGATGCAGGTCATCTGTTGTCATACTGGTACAACAGCACTGGCTGTACGCCGCAAGGAAAAATAAGGAAAAAGAAGGTATAATAAGGAATTGATATTATAATTAACAAGAATGCATTTCAATGTTACTAACAGAAGACTGAGAATTTTATTGTAGAGCAATTTGAACAGAAAATGATGATTGCTCACTGAGAGGATTGGTTAGGTCATGCCTGAAAACATTTCAACGTGAAGTGACCCTTGGATGTAGTTTTGAATCTGAAACACTAGAGGGCAGGCTGATGTTATTCACTACTATAGGAAACTGTGACATTATTGTGGCATGTGTTCTCCACAATATTGCCATTATTAGAGGGGAGCAACACCCTGCGCTACAAATACAAGACCCTGAGGAAGACTCCATCCACCCTGCAGATTACCAGGATGGAAGGACAGTCAGAAATAGGATATGCCGTAATGCCTTCTTGGATTAATCAACAACCACCACCATCACCACCACCACCGATGAAAGAAAAAAACTGAATAAATGCAAATCATAATTTATTTGGGTTTCTTCATTTCCTACAAATACTAAAGCAATTGTTAGATTTCAAAATTTGTCCAATAATTCATACAATTCACCTGTAACTATACACTCACCTCTAGCTTTTGTTTGAGAATTTCAATTTCTAGATCTGTCTTTTCAATCTGGCGGTCCAAGTATAACATTTTTTTAATAAGATGCATTTTATACAACTCCTTAACTGGTAACTGTAAATACAGAAGATTTAGAGTTACATGACATAGTTCCTCATTAATTATACAGATTTAAACTCTGGCATTTACTGAACATCACTGAACTGTGTTCATCTGCGCAGCAGCATTTGACGAACCCTCCTCCTGCTGTTCTTCCACACTCTGGGGCAGAGGGGAGATAATAATGTCAGTATACTTGGAGATAGATTTACATCCTTTAGGCTACTTCACACAAACACTGGCACTCCGAATGTGTAGCTCATTTGATGTGTATACACTGTATTAATATTACCTCTGTAGACCTCTCTGTGGCAGACATAGTTTCATTATCCTCATAGTCCTATGAAGACGAGCATTTGGTTAGAGTACACTTTATAATACTACCTATCATAATTTAAGCTTTATTTAGTAGGATACTTACAACAGCCTGGGGTTCTGCTGTGACAGGAGGCTCCAAAAGGCAGATATTACCATCAGAATCTGTTAAGACCCACAAAAAACCCAACCCAGAGTGTAATAAATGGATATATCAAAAGTAGCCTATGTAAAAAATAGAATATATAGGTAGGCCTCTTACATGTAATGAATGCACTTGTATCCTGGGGAGTGACTGGTTCTGATGAACTCCCTCCAGGAATTCCCTCAGCCACTGGCTTTCCAGTGCTCAGGCTGAGGGCCATCTCCTCTGCATGTGTCAGTGGTGGTGGTGCAGGTCCTCCACCAGTTTTTCTGCCCTCAGCCTTCTTTCTGTTGGCTGAGTAGAAGTCAAATGATTTAATTGTGTGAAAACAACATTACACCCATGTTGAAAATGCTGCTGCACTGCTATACTCTGCAGGCTATTTAGTTATTTAATATGTCAAATGTTTGTAAAGTCAGGTAGTCTACACCCATGATATGATCAAGCCTTACCTGTTTGAATTATGTTTTTATATTTCATTTTTAGCTGCTGCCACGTTCTTTTTATGCCTGCAGGATTGCACCTACATGAAAAATAAAATACAATTCTTATATTACTACATCAGTCTTGGGTACATTTTAAAAAAGGTATTTTGATTAATGTAATAATTACTCTCCATAAAACGTATTGGATTACCTATTACTCATTACCTTACAAATCCCATATCAACCACAATAGGAATTTTAAGCAAGGGTAGACATAAAACTGCACTTTTAATTCGTACAAAAATCGGCATTTTATGCAATTACTGACGTTACTCATTAAATTATTGAAGAATTAAGAACCATTCCTTACTTTACAAGTGACAAATAATAACATTACTAACATTATTTAGTAATTACTTACACCAAACACTGTATGATTAAAATGTAAACGTACGCATTGACTCGGGCAGCTATTTTCCCCCAAGCTAACTCTCTCTCTTTTCGCCGCTGCAGCCGTGTTGCTTTTCTTTTATGAAATATGGGCTCGTAGTCACTATATGCTTGTAGTAGCACATCAATTTCTGTCGGGGAAAAACGCAGACCTATTTTTTCTTGGTCCTGTTGCCATGGTGACTCGTAATGTCTTCACTCCATTGTTCAGGGCTTTCTATAGTCGCGCTGCACGCGCCTAACTCTGAGTCAAACAACTCAGAGTTGATTAAACCAACTCTTTTCAGCTGTTCTGAAACCGAAGACTCCAAGTTTTCCAACTCTGTGTAAGTCAACTCAGAGTTCAGGTTTGAACTCTGAGTTTGTTAAACCTCCTTCTTGAAACGGGCCCCTGTTCAAAATCTTTATTATTATTGTTAGTATTATTAGTAGCATTAGTATTGTTGGTGGTGGTGGTGGTGGTGGTATTGTTATGAATATTATTATTATTTGTAGTAGTAGTAGTATTAGTGACGATGTGTATGTAACATTAAAAAAGAAACATCCGAACAAAGGGGTGAGCATGCACACTGATATTTCCAGTAAGAGAAAACCACTCACACAGGAAAAGAGTTTTTGGGGGTTGGAAACTCTCCAAGTCTTGTGCAGTCATCTGTCTTTTCACACTTACCTCAGCGTGCTCAAACGATAGTTCAGGCCTGTCGTACCCCTTTTGTCAGCCAGTCAAGACAGTAACCTAACCCTAACTTGTGAAATGATAAGAAATATAAACTTTCTGTTCGGTTTCTTTTGTTTGATTAATTTGAAAATCAGGTGTTTTCAGACAAATGAAAATAACTGTTTTCATCTAGGCTTACCACCCCTGCAATAATATGATTTCATTTTTATGTTTTGTTTTCGTGTGTGTATGTGTGTGTGTGTGTGTGTGTGTGTGTGTGTTAGAAGGATTACACACAAACAACTGGGTAACTCATCAGCATATTTGGTACTGATATTGGTGGGGGACAAACCCTAGAAGTGATTAGATTTTGGTTGAAAAAGGTCAGAGGTCAAGGTCATAAAAATAACAAAAATCACAAGAATCCCTATTTTTAAAGTGGGGTCAAATTTAAAAAATTCATATAATTTGACACACATATGTAGGGTGGTGATGTCTATCACCAGACCAGATTTAATCCATTCAAATTTTACACTGAAACCCCCATTCAATGCATATTTTCTGTCATATCTTGACCTAGAATGAAGATAGAACCCTGAGATGTTCAGGTAAAATGCACAGTATAAAAGATTACCAAGGATTTTAGGACATTTTGTGTTGTTCTGATCTCATTTTTCACAAGGTACCCATTTGTATGAGTGAATGTTGTGCCTTGACGGGGTACATGCACACTCTGACTACTCTTGTTATTTCTGCAGTGCCTGTGAGGTTAAAAATGGTTATTGTTCCAATTATGTGTATTTGTAAAACAACATTATTGTTACCAATAATTTATTTACCTAAAAACTAAATAAGATGGGACCTTTAACAAATAGGGTATCATCTCACCCAGACTGTAGTAGGTATCAACCATAGGAACCACACAAAGAAGGAAAGGTCATAATATCAACTGAAACTACTGAGTATCCTTTTGACCTACACCAGCAATTCAGCAACACAAAAACACAACTCTCTTTGTTCGGCAACAGTTTGTGTGAATAAACTCTACAAGTCCATTGCAGAAGCTACTTGTAAAAAATAATACAAAGACTTTTCCCACTTTACTTAAGAATGTGAATACCCTTTCCAATTCAATAATTTTTCACTTTTTGACACTAATCACTTAGTTGTTCGTCATAGCTTGTCTGCCCAGTGTAGAAGTCATGTTAAATGAAATGAGAAGTGCAACCACTCCAGGATGCGTACCCTAAGCCCGCAGAGGAAGAGGCTCTGCTGTGACACTATAAGTTCCTGTCTTGCATGGAGCCACACTGCGGTATTTGCTTTTAGTGAAGAGATGTGTTGCTTCATACAAAAGAAGCATGAATTATTTAAGATGGGTATAAATGGTAATCCCCTTGCATACCCACTCACATTCACTCTCCGCACAGCCATTAGGGAAAGTGGAAAATACAAGACAACTGTTTTCCGTTAACCATACTAATAGTCATATATGTACAATACACAGAGCTGGACCTCAGACCGTTCATTTTTGTTCCTGTGCCAGCAAGCGAGTACAGGAACGAGCTGTACGTTTGTATCGATGTGAGCTGGTGTACTTGAACTCCAGGCCTTAAGGAGTAAAACCAATTAAATATTAATTGACGGGATGTATAAAGCTTGCTGAGTGCAGGCAGTCTGTCAGACTGAAAGTGACTGTAGCAGAGGTGAGAACAGTAGTAATTCTTAGTGTGACTCAGTTTTATACACTCATCTGTTGTATTGTAGTAGGATTTCATGTTGACTATAAGTTCTCTTCTGTGACAAGGACCATTTCAGAGAAGTCACTCCTGCTGACCATCTGACCACTGTTTAGCCTGTATCATGTGCAGCAATAGATGAAACTCCCTTTCACGTTCCTGTGAGGAAAGACCCCTGTATCTTAAATTAGCACAGCTCGGCTTCAACAGATTTCCAAAGAACTTAAGCCTGTTCCTTGAAACATTAAGCAAAAATGCATTTTTACTATAAAACCAATTTTGAGGTCCAGTGTAAACTGTCTCAGGTTTGCCACTTCTCACTGTATCTCCAAATATGATTATTTTGAAGATACACAAAATGCTCCAGCACGCTCACAAAAACCACAAGATTGTATTCAAATGTGCTGTCACCAATTTGCTAGTTTTGGTTTTAGTTGCCCAGGTTTTGAGATATCTAAATCTTTATTTAGTTATCTACTTTGAGATATCTAAACTATTCTGTCTTCACCCCAAAGTAGACACATGTCTCAGAACCTGGGCAAGTAATATCTTCTTATATTGAAAAAATATTGAATTCATTTAGTTTGGATGAACTAGCCGGTTAAAACATGTTTGTTGTTGTTTGAAGAACTACTGATTTTACAAGACAGAAACCGGCTTTTTTCAGTGATAACAGCCAACTTCTGCTGTTTTTTTTTATTGTTCTTTATTATCCTCGGTCACATGTTCCCTAATACCCTTCAGAACATATTTGTAGTACTTCACAGGAAAGTAGTAATAATTCAGTGTAATTCCTGTATTCTTTACCCTTTGGCCTCGCGTTTTTTTTTTTATTTCTGCTTTGTGGTCTAAATATGGAAGAAAAGAAAAAGGAAAAAACGTTGTTATTACACACAAACAACTGGGTAACTCATCAGCATATTTGGTACTGATATTGGTGGGGGACAAACCCTAGAAGTGATTAGATTTTGGTTGAAAAAGGTCAGAGGTCAAGGTCATAAAAATAACAAAAATCACAAGAATCCCTATTTTTAAAGTGGGGTCAAATTTTAAAAATTCATATCATTTGACACACATATGTAGGGTGGTGATGTCTATCACCAGACCAGATTTAATCCATTCAAATTTTACACTGAAACCCCCATTCAATGCATATTTTCTGTCATATCTTGACCTAGAATGAAGATAGAACCCTGAGATGTTCAGGTAAAATGCACAGTATAAAAGATTACCAAGGATTTTAGGACATTTTGTGTTGTTCTGATCTCATTTTTCACAAGGTACCCATTTGTATGAGTGAATGTTGTGCCTTGACGGGGTACATGCACACTCTGACTACTCTTGTTATTTCTGCAGTGCCTGTGAGGTTAAAAATGGTTATTGTTCCAATTATGTGTATTTGTAAAACAACATTATTGTTACCAATAATTTATTTACCTAAAAACTAAATAAGATGGGACCTTTAACAAATAGGGTATCATCTCACCCAGACTGTAGTAGGTATCAACCATAGGAACCACACAAAGAAGGAAAGGTCATAATATCAACTGAAACTACTGAGTATCCTTTTGACCTACACCAGCAATTCAGCAACACAAAAACACAACTCTCTTTGTTCGGCAACAGTTTGTGTGAATAAACTCTACAAGTCCATTGCAGAAGCTACTTGTAAAAAATAATACAAAGACTTTTCCCACTTTACTTAAGAATGTGAATACCCTTTCCAATTCAATAATTTTTCACTTTTTGACACTAATCACTTAGTTGTTCGTCATAGCTTGTCTGCCCAGTGTAGAAGTCATGTTAAATGAAATGAGAAGTGCAACCACTCCAGGATGCGTACCCTAAGCCCGCAGAGGAAGAGGCTCTGCTGTGACACTATAAGTTCCTGTCTTGCATGGAGCCACACTGCGGTATTTGCTTTTAGTGAAGAGATGTGTTGCTTCATACAAAAGAAGCATGAATTATTTAAGATGGGTATAAATGGTAATCCCCTTGCATACCCACTCACATTCACTCTCCGCACAGCCATTAGGGAAAGTGGAAAATACAAGACAACTGTTTTCCGTTAACCATACTAATAGTCATATATGTACAATACACAGAGCTGGACCTCAGACCGTTCATTTTTGTTCCTGTGCCAGCAAGCGAGTACAGGAACGAGCTGTACGTTTGTATCGATGTGAGCTGGTGTACTTGAACTCCAGGCCTTAAGGAGTAAAACCAATTAAATATTAATTGACGGGATGTATAAAGCTTGCTGAGTGCAGGCAGTCTGTCAGACTGAAAGTGACTGTAGCAGAGGTGAGAACAGTAGTAATTCTTAGTGTGACTCAGTTTTATACACTCATCTGTTGTATTGTAGTAGGATTTCATGTTGACTATAAGTTCTCTTCTGTGACAAGGACCATTTCAGAGAAGTCACTCCTGCTGACCATCTGACCACTGTTTAGCCTGTATCATGTGCAGCAATAGATGAAACTCCCTTTCACGTTCCTGTGAGGAAAGACCCCTGTATCTTAAATTAGCACAGCTCGGCTTCAACAGATTTCCAAAGAACTTAAGCCTGTTCCTTGAAACATTAAGCAAAAATGCATTTTTACTATAAAACCAATTTTGAGGTCCAGTGTAAACTGTCTCAGGTTTGCCACTTCTCACTGTATCTCCAAATATGATTATTTTGAAGATACACAAAATGCTCCAGCACGCTCACAAAAACCACAAGATTGTATTCAAATGTGCTGTCACCAATTTGCTAGTTTTGGTTTTAGTTGCCCAGGTTTTGAGATATCTAAATCTTTATTTAGTTATCTACTTTGAGATATCTAAACTATTCTGTCTTCACCCCAAAGTAGACACATGTCTCAGAACCTGGGCAAGTAATATCTTCTTATATTGAAAAAATATTGAATTCATTTAGTTTGGATGAACTAGCCGGTTAAAACATGTTTGTTGTTGTTTGAAGAACTACTGATTTTACAAGACAGAAACCGGCTTTTTTCAGTGATAACAGCCAACTTCTGCTGTTTTTTTTTATTGTTCTTTATTATCCTCAGTCACATGTTCCCTAATACCCTTCAGAACATATTTGTAGTACTTCACAGGAAAGTAGTAATAATTCAGTGTAATTCCTGTATTCTTTACCCTTTGGCCTCGCGTTTTTTTTTTTATTTCTGCTTTGTGGTCTAAATATGGAAGAAAAGAAAAAGGAAAAAACGTTGTTATGGGATATCACTTTTTACAGAGATGGAAAGAGGAACTAAAACTAAAACTAAGCTTTCTTCTGAAACTGAGTGTTTACTTTCAAACCCTTGAACTGAGTAGGGCATCGGATTTATGTGATAGTGGTGTTAACAAAATGCACAAGCCAATGAGGAAATGAAAATGGAGTTTATCAGATAAGACTGATTCTACTGATTAACTCACACCACAATTGTCAGGACAATTAACAGTAGCAGCTACAGCGGAAAGAAATGAAATCGTACCTTCATTTTTTCCAAGCACTCGCTCATTTGATTTTGCTGCTAAAGGTGTTAACCACAGATGCACTTACTTAGACAAGAGATGTTGATCTCATAAAGATCACCAGCCTACACTTTGTGTAGAGATATGTAAAACAGCCCACACATATCTACTAAACCAACTGGATTTTAGAAAAAAATTCCATCTAAAATCTTTTTTACCAAGTTGTTAATAAAGTGTAAAATGGTACTGACAAATAAAATCTTTTCCTTCCTTTCTTTTTTATTATTTTGACATAACCCATTTGTTTGCATCTTTTCCTTCAAAATAATAAATAAAATGTGCTCAATATCCAAAAAGATCTGTTCAATAATCATATGATTTTTTACAGTGTAAGAACAAGTCCAAGCATAATTGCACATGCAGCTTTCAGATGCAACAAGTTAGCCTACTGTTTTATAATTTTACATTTCTATTCTCACTCATAATTATGTATTTAATGTAAACAAAATATAGAAATAATTAGAGACGCTTGACACAACCAGAGCGAGCTTTTTTTTATGACCTTTCAAGTTTCACTTTCCACTTTAAAAAATTCCCTTCATCACAGGAAGGGTGACATAAGAACCCTTCATAAGAACAGTATTTAAGGCGACCCTCAGCCTCTACCCCTCACAGGGCTTCTCACAACAAATACTAGCTATTCTCACTAGCTGCACTTACTTCACCCTCTGTCCATCATCTTTGCCTCAAAGACCAAGATTCTTTCCAACACCGGTGTCATCTTGACCAAGAGGAAACCCACAATGGCCAGCTTCATTAAAGTGTTTCTGCTCCTGGCTGTCATGGTCTGCATCTCCAAAGCCCAGCGTAAGTTTTTATCCATATTTTTTATCATTTTGGACTTGTATAGACAACATGAAGTTTGCTTTATATCTTTTGATTAATATTGTTGGCTGTGAGCTGCACTTCTTTGGTCAAAAGAATTTTGATTCTGATTTTTTTCCCCTCTTATCTTTATTTCTAGTCAATGAATCAAAGAATCAGTGTCTGTGTCAGCGTGTCAGGGCAAATCTCATCGGCAAATCTCCAGTCAAGGACATCCAGATCTACCCAGCAACCATCTTTTGTGACAGAGTGGAGATTGTGTAAGATACACAAAATTTTTAAAATGAATGTGTGAGGAAAAAAACGATGTTATTTATCGAATTAATGTTTCAGATAGACTATTTGATATAGATTTGCTGTAATTCAAATTACATGATACTACAAAATGTCTACAACCGTGTTTACAGTACCTAAATGCCTCCAACTGAACTCATCTCTATTGTCCATTTCAACAGTGTCACCACCAGCAACAACTTCCGCTATTGCTTGAACCCCAGTTTGGACAAAGTGAAAAGACTCCTGAATAAAATCATGTGAGTGTATTTACAGATTCACCTTCAGAATACCATGACCACCGTACAGTATTTGATAGAAATAACAGTAATGAGTAGTACAGAGTTCTCTCCCCTCTGCTGTAATATGTCTAACATATGCACTTCTGGTATTGGACTTTCTAGAAAGAAAGGGAACACCACTAATACAGCCATCCCACGTAACCTCACTACCAGCCCGGGCAGCACCAACGCAGCTCGCGCCTGATTCCAGACTTAGATAAACTCCGTTGATCAGCAAGAAGCTCTTATGACCTGTTACCCCCCCCGAGTACAGGAACGAGCTGTACGTTTGTATCGATGTGAGCTGGTGTACTTGAACTCCAGGCCTTAAGGAGTAAAACCAATTAAATATTAATTGACGGGATGTATAAAGCTTGCTGAGTGCAGGCAGTCTGTCAGACTGAAAGTGACTGTAGCAGAGGTGAGAACAGTAGTAATTCTTAGTGTGACTCAGTTTTATACACTCATCTGTTGTATTGTAGTAGGATTTCATGTTGACTATAAGTTCTCTTCTGTGACAAGGACCATTTCAGAGAAGTCACTCCTGCTGACCATCTGACCACTGTTTAGCCTGTATCATGTGCAGCAATAGATGAAACTCCCTTTCACGTTCCTGTGAGGAAAGACCCCTGTATCTTAAATTAGCACAGCTCGGCTTCAACAGATTTCCAAAGAACTTAAGCCTGTTCCTTGAAACATTAAGCAAAAATGCATTTTTACTATAAAACCAATTTTGAGGTCCAGTGTAAACTGTCTCAGGTTTGCCACTTCTCACTGTATCTCCAAATATGATTATTTTGAAGATACACAAAATGCTCCAGCACGCTCACAAAAACCACAAGATTGTATTCAAATGTGCTGTCACCAATTTGCTAGTTTTGGTTTTAGTTGCCCAGGTTTTGAGATATCTAAATCTTTATTTAGTTATCTACTTTGAGATATCTAAACTATTCTGTCTTCACCCCAAAGTAGACACATGTCTCAGAACCTGGGCAAGTAATATCTTCTTATATTGAAAAAATATTGAATTCATTTAGTTTGGATGAACTAGCCGGTTAAAACATGTTTGTTGTTGTTTGAAGAACTACTGATTTTACAAGACAGAAACCGGCTTTTTTCAGTGATAACAGCCAACTTCTGCTGTTTTTTTTTATTGTTCTTTATTATCCTCAGTCACATGTTCCCTAATACCCTTCAGAACATATTTGTAGTACTTCACAGGAAAGTAGTAATAATTCAGTGTAATTCCTGTATTCTTTACCCTTTGGCCTCGCGTTTTTTTTTTTATTTCTGCTTTGTGGTCTAAATATGGAAGAAAAGAAAAAGGAAAAAACGTTGTTATGGGATATCACTTTTTACAGAGATGGAAAGAGGAACTAAAACTAAAACTAAGCTTTCTTCTGAAACTGAGTGTTTACTTTCAAACCCTTGAACTGAGTAGGGCATCGGATTTATGTGATAGTGGTGTTAACAAAATGCACAAGCCAATGAGGAAATGAAAATGGAGTTTATCAGATAAGACTGATATTACTGATTAACTCACACCACAAATGTTAGGACAATTAACAGTAGCAGCTACAGCGGAAAGAAATGAAATCGTACCTTCATTTTTTCCAAGCACTCGCTCATTTGATTTTGCTGCTAAAGGTGTTAACCACAGATGCACTTACTTAGACAAGAGATGTTGATCTCATAAAGATCACCAGCCTACACTTTGTGTAGAGATATGTAAAACAGCCCACACATATCTACTAAACCAACTGGATTTTAGAAAAAAATTCCATCTAAAATCTTTTTTACCAAGTTGTTAATAAAGTGTAAAATGGTACTGACAAATAAAATCTTTTCCTTCCTTTCTTTTTTATTATTTTGACATAACCCATTTGTTTGCATCTTTTCCTTCAAAATAATAAATAAAATGTGCTCAATATCCAAAAAGATCTGTTCAATAATCATATGATTTTTTACAGTGTAAGAACAAGTCCAAGCATAATTGCACATGCAGCTTTCAGATGCAACAAGTTAGCCTACTGTTTTATAATTTTACATTTCTATTCTCACTCATAATTATGTATTTAATGTGAACAAAATATAGAAATAATTAGAGAAGCTTGACACAACCAGAGGGGAGGGCGAGTATGAGCGAGCTTTTTTTTTTATGGCCTTTCAAGTTTCACTTTCCACTTTAAAAAATTTCCCTTCATCACAGGAAGGGTGACATAAGAGGCTGAACAGCATTTAAGGTGACCCGCAGCCTCTACCCCTCACAGGGCTTCTCACAACAAATACTAGCTATTCTCACTAGCTGCACTTACTTCACCCTCTGTCCATCATCTTTGCCTCAAAGACCAAGATTCTTTCCAACACCGGTGTCATCTTGACCAAGAGGAAACCCACAATGGCCAGCTTCATTAAAGTGTTTCTGCTCCTGGCTGTCATGGTCTGCATCTCCAAAGCCCAGCGTAAGTTTTTATCCATATTTTTTATCATTTTGGACTTGTATAGACAACATGAAGTTTGCTTTATATCTTTTGATTAATATTGTTGGCTGTGAGCTGCACTTCTTTGGTCAAAAGAATTTTGATTCTGATTTTTTTCCCCTCTTATCTTTATCTCTAGTCAATGAATCAGAGAATCAGTGTCTGTGTCAGCGTGTCAGGGCAAATCTCATCGGCAAATCTCCAGTCAAGGACATCCAGATCTACCCAGCAACCATCTTTTGTGACAGAGTGGAGATTGTGTAAGATACACAACATTTTTAAAATGAATGTGTGAGGAAAAAAACGATGTTATTTATCGATTTAATGTTTCAGATAGACTATTTGATATAGATTTGCTGTAATTCAAATTACATGATACTACAAAATGTCTACAACCGTGTTTACAGTACCTAAATGCCTCCAACTGAACTCATCTCTATTGTCCATTTCAACAGTGTCACCACCAGCAACAACTTCCGCTATTGCTTGAACCCCAGTTTGGACAAAGTGAAAAGACTCCTGAATAAAATCATGTGAGTGTATTTACAGATTCATCTTCAGAATATCATGACCACCGTACAGTATTTGATAGAAATAACAGTAATGAGTAGTACAGAGTTCTCTCCCCTCTGCTGTAATATGTCTAACATATGCACTTCTGGTATTGGACTTTCTAGAAAGAAAGGGAACACCACTAATACAGCCATCCCACGTAAGCTCACTACCAGCCCGGGCAGCACCAACGCAGCTCGCGCCTGATTCCAGACTTAGATAAACTCCGTTGATCAGCAAGAAGCTCTTATGACCTGTTACCCCCCCAACAAAGGCACCTTCACTGAATGTAGACAAATGAATGAAACCTTTTCATCTATTTATGATGACTTCTGTTTGTTAGTTTCAAATTGTTTTTGTAAATAGATCTGAACTACTACATGAATGAAATGACTGTATGAATGTTGTCACTGTTTGTCTTGTCACACATATGCTCAAAACAAATTTCAAATCTATCTATGTGTTGTAAACTTTTTTGCATTATAATGTAAATAATAAAAGAAAACTCAACAGAGCACTGAGTGCTTGTTTTCTGTTACAAGTCTGTTTTCTGATATCCTACATCCTGTATCAACAGTGCTATCTTGTGGTTCAGGGCTGCCAATGCCTAAAATACAGTATAGTATACTATGTGTTTCAGTGCCCGTATCCTGTGATCTCAGTCAGGCTTAGGTTGCCCCCAGTACAATGTCAGAGGGAGTTACACTATAAAGTGTCTTCTAGATTTGATTAATGGGTCTTACTCCTACTTACAGTAGATAAATCAGATAACAGAGCACAGTGAAGCTGCACACAGATGGTGGGATTCAGGGCCAATAACCTGCCAACGGTAATGCTTTACACCCATCATACACCGACACACACAACTTGCCTACCCTTTTACACTAACGCTTAACCTAAACCTAGCTATACGTCATCTCCATGATTTACATTGTGTGGACGAGCATCCAGTCTCCACAGGCTGCAGGTTATGGGTCCCCACAAGTCTAGAAAAGCATGGCTAAATGCACACCCATTCATCATTGTAACTAGGCTGGTCGCTCTGTCTAGCTTTATGACATCCTCATGTGCTATACAACCTATGTGTTCTGTAATTCCTTCAACATTGCCATATATACTCCAAGGCCACTTTGTTAGGTACTCTGTACATCTGTATGCAGTTCAATGCAACAATGCTGTCTTAACATCTGTGTTTAGTGAAATTATCATAAAGGTATGAATTCAATTATGTTTATTATTCAGGTCATAGAAGTGATGTTGTACTGGACCACATTATACTTAGAGGTATACTTAGAGGCATTATACTGTGTTAAGTGGGTGCAGCCGTAATGTTCAAATAATGTGCTTGTATTGGTTACCGCTGTTTTCTGCTAAATGCTGCGCTGTTCTGGCCAATGTGGGATGGGGGGAGGAACAGGTGCGGGAGGGTATAAGAGGGATGACAGGTGGACGTGCTGTGTTGGTTCTGTTGGTGGGCGATGGTGAAGTTCGGGAAGAGACCTGTAATGTTCTGTTTTGTTACTTTTTCCAGTGAGCACATAGTGCTGCGTTTTGCAACCCTTTTCTTTCTTGTTTTTGTATGCCTGAATAAAGCCAAGAAAAGACAGAGATGGTGTTCTCCTCCTTGTCAGTCTAGGTGCCAGCACACAGCTGGATAGTTAGATGTCCCAGTATAGGATAGGGTCAGACCAGGTCCACTCATCCGAACCAGTGGAGCGCCACAATACTTTGCACTGTAGCTACTGGAACTTCAAAACATTTAGATATGGTCTTATAGCCCTTTCCTGACTTATGAACAGCCACAATGCACAGCCGCTGGTGCATCAGCAAAAGACGTGAGCTACTGAGCATGTGAAATGTCTGTCCTATGGAAACTCAAACAAGCTAGGTCACATGACCACTAATTTCAGAAGAAAATAGGAACTGAATGGATTCACTCAACCTAGGTTACGTTGTATTAAATCAAGTGGCTTTTGTGATGATAACAAGTTCTCAGTTTTAGTTTAACCTACTAAAGTGGGTTGTGTTTTAAAAGCTAACACGGGTGTATTAATTAATTTGGACACCGATGCATTTCATTAATTGAGCATGTCATGAAGTTCACTTTTTTGAGTGTAGTCGAGTTGCATACAGTTCCACAGGATCATCCTAGAAAAACTCGAACTGGCGAGAAGACAGCAGGATTCAGTAAAGCAGAGACAAGAATCAATTCCCCAGAAATAGTAGTTCATACTAAAAAAAAATACTCAGGGGATTTCCTCTGGCAGAAAGCAAATAGTTCAGTTCACAGTTCAATTCACCGTTCGGTTCAGTTCAGAAAACACACATGAAACAACACTGGAATCTGTGAGGAGAGTTCTTTTATTTTGAAAAGAGAAGACTAATAAAAAGATATATATTTCACTATGTGAAATGTATTATGCATTAACGTATCAAAATGAACATGTGCACATGAATCTTCCCTGTTTAGGATAAACAGAAAAGAGTGCCCTCAACTTACCGGTATACAATATTTGTATGAAAAGTTGTTACTATCTGATTGGTCAAAAACTGTTGGAGAGAAGCCGTGGTTTAAACTTAACTCTCCCGTGATTGGTCCTTCATTCCGTCCATCCTCCAATCGTCCTCTCTGCTCCAATGGTCATGGACAGCCCCCTAGGAAGGGGAGGCATACCTATACTGTCTTAATTCCTACATAGACACTTACTTCTTCCTTTGTTTCCAACTAACTGCTCTGCCTGTGTGTGTGTATACCTTTGAAGTTTTCTCCTCTTCCTGGCTTCAGATCTAATCTCTGTTTACTATCCTAGGAATCCCAATGAACTATAACTCCTCTGGCCCATTAGCCAGGTGGAGATAATAAATATCATAACATATCCATTCACTTTGTATTAAACTTATTGTTTTACACTTACAAGCTTTTTGTTCATGCTAAGAATGTGTTGGTTGAAGCTGAAATTAGGAAGAATTAGTGATGTTGGCTCTGTGCATATTTGGACAAACAAGATTATACATAACTATGTAAACATAACTGTGACATACAAGTCTGGCCCATTAGCCAGGTGGAGATAATAAATTAACTGTGGACCCTCTTAGCCAGAGCTGTAAATCTAAGGAGATTCACTGATTTAGTGAACAAGACACTATAATGTTGAAGAGTGCTTCAGTGACTAATACAACAGTTGACCAGTGGTTCAGTGAACACATAATTATACATAACTATGTAAACATAACTGTGACATATACGTATGTAAACTTATGTGTGCTATAAAATAAAACCATTCATAAGTGCATAAAAATAAAAATCACCCTAACAAATCACCAAGGCAAAAAGAAGCACAGGTCACATCAGAAGCGTACTGAATACTTACTGGACATCGAGAGATCACACCAAGGCTCTCCTTAAGTAATGCTCACCGCCGGGAGTGGACTCTAGCACCTGCCGGGGAAGAGTTGTTGGTGGTCCCAGGGCTGGCTGGGAGTGCACCGATCCGCAACCATAACATATCCATTCACTTTGTATTAAACTTATTGTTTTACACTTACGAGCTTTTTGTTCATGCTAAGAATGTGTTGGTTGAAGCTGAAATTAGGAAGAATTAGTGATGTTGGCTCTGTGCATATTTGGACAAACAAGACGGTGAGCAAACTGTCAGGACAGAAGAGAAACATTAGAGGGACATCCTGACTTTTTGACAACAGTTTGTCCAGGGTCCAACCATGTAGTCATGTACACAGGTTGGTGAAGACCATACACACACATATTTTGCAATACATATACACACACAGGTAAAAAAAACAAACAAAAAAAAAAACAAGGTAGATGGGGATAGTAGCAGAATCAGAATCTGTCGTGGCTAGAGTGTGATGCCGACTAAATTAATTCAGACAAACCATCCCAATTTAAAGGATCATTCTGAATAGAGTAATATTTAAACAGATAATCTTGTAGTTACGGAAACAGAGAACAGAGACTCTCCTCCTGCAATGTGATGAGTAAAGCATTAAATAAGAAGATTGTCAAAAGCGTCAGTCCAGTCAGTTGTTGTTGGTCACGAGTCAGTCTTTCTGTCAACCCACAGTCAGTTGTCAGTCTTAATTCAGTGCCCCCCCCAGCCGGCTGGGTCTAAGCTCACTCAAGGCTGCCGCACCATCCTTAATTCCTCTCCTTCCTCTCTAACCCAGCTTTTTATCTGCTCGCACTTACACAGCCCTCCATGGCCTGAGCCATGAAGACGCGGTCCCATGCCAGCTACCCACACACTCCTTCTTCCGAGCATTGTCTAAACTGTCCAGTACACGAACTTCTAGGTCGCATTGACCTAGCGCACATTTCCTTTTTCTAACCCTGAACAGAGAACACGAACAGTTCACAAAAGGCTACAGCTACAGTATATCCATTCCCTATCTGAGGAGGAAGTCACTCAGGATGTTGACCCATAGGTTAAACAAGGGGGACACAGCCCAAGATATTCTTGCCTGCGCCAGAAACAGATCAAGCTTCTGTACACACTTAGCTCAGCCTTACATCTTTACACAACTATCACAAATAATATCTAAATATGAACTACATACTATTACCTCTGAAACCTTGTTTATTTTTAGCCACTACAACTGAAACAGCCCACATAGCAGACAGGTGTGGGCCAGATCTGGTGTCAAGCCTGCACTGCGGGCATGACAAGTGGTATGTCAACCAGATGTAGGCCACATCTGGCCATGATGGCACTGTGTATATGATGACATGCCACATGTGGCCCGATTGTGGTTTGGTTTATATGGCCCAGATATGTCCATGCCACACGTGGTCGGATTGTTGTTGAGCTTATGTTGCCCATATCTGTCTCATATGAACAGGCACACATAGTGTGAACCACAAAGGATTGTTAGGTCTTACCTTTAAAATGTTTTTCTACCTTTATTGGTGTCTCACACACCACCCCCTACTCCTAATTCAATTTAGTCTTTCGTGTTTATAGCAAGTACGTGCATTCAAACTCATAAACACATCCACATCACGTGCTCCAACACTAACAGAAAACCTTTATTTCTCAGAATTGAATGAGTAATAATTAAAACAATGGCCCTAAACTTACCTATTATTAAGTTACAGGAAAACTTCGTGTTTATGTGTTGAGACTGTCCGCTTCTGAAAAGACAGTCCGCTTATGCCCTGACAACCAACCAATCTTGTCCTTTGCTCTTCACTCTCATTGGCCATCCCTCAGCATGTGACCCCGTTTCCTACGTTCTCATTGGCTTTAGCTATTTTCTGTAGTAAAGAGCGCGAACAGAACTGGATGCGCTGTTTTGAACAGAGAGAAGAACAAAGTTGAGGTGAGTTTACTTATTTAATCTGTACAGAATATGTTTGATTAAGAAACAACTTGATAGCTTAAGCTGCATTCCATTTGAACGGGGAATTCCCGAGTTTTCCATGTCTGCTGAAGAGAAGCTTTGCTAGAAACGTCACTCACTCGGTGCAATGTATAGTAATGGCTGATCGAGGCTTTGTTGAAGCTTCCACACAGTGTTAACAAAAAAATGGTTCATTACTCGAGGCTTCAATGACACAGTGCTCGAGTAGGACATCTAGTGGTCTATAAAATGAAGTGCAATCAAGACGTTCATGGATTGTTTGGAATTTAATTTGCCATGCAAATTCCTGTTCGACTACACTACATGGTTGTATGGTTTCAAGCTGACAGTAAAATATGAAATAAACATGAACTCATGCTGAAGACCATGTTTCTTATTTAGCATGTCTGATTGTAACCCTATATATATACCCTTCACTTATATTTTGTGTTATGAAACATTTAATTGGTGCTGCTACATTTATGACATGTGCTCTACAAATTCAGACAGATGTCATTTTCACGTGGGACTGGTGCAAAAAGAGAATATATTATAGGCTTTGTATGTTTTGGGGTTCATTGGTAAATAAGTTCATGGGTATGTGGGTAAAGAGGGTGGCTTGTGTAACTGTTATCTAGATATGTACAGTATATATAGCTAGATAGTTAATCTATTTTCTCTCTCTCGCTATGTGTATACATAT